GTCCGCGCAGAGCGGTGCGGCCGGGCGCGCCCGGGGTTGTGGTGACCGCCGCCGTCCCCCTGGCGGCCTTCTGCTGAGGGTTCCCCGTGTGGTCTCCTCACCTGTCTCACACACTCAGACCCGTTTTCCGCTTCAGCGTCTTCCCCGGAGCGGGGTTTGAGCTACGGGTGCAGGGGTGGTGTGTTAGGGTACTTTCTGGATGCGGGAGGACGGGAAAACGCCACTAATCCGAAAGGCGCGGGCGCCGCGGCCGTGACTAATCACCCGCCCCGCCCCCACCGTCCGCGCGGGGATCCCGCGAGCGGCGCGAGCGCGCGGGGAAATGAGTCTGGGGCCGCCGCTGGCTGAGTTTCGCTTGCACGGGCGTGGGGACTTTCTAGTAACTGGAAAGCAGCACCGTCCGAGACTCAAAAGGAAGTAAAGATCAGAGCCATCTTTCGCCCGCTGCAGGACCGCCGCCCCACCGCCACCACCCCACAGGTGCGCGTCCGCGCCCCAGGTAGCGCGGCGGGGTCTGCGGAGCCCAGGCTGCACGCGGGCTCGCTGGGCGGTCCCTGCTGCGTCCCGGGCAGGGTCGTGTTTATTTAAGTCTGCCCGTCTGTAGCAGGAACAGATGCAAAGCGGGCTCTTTTGGGCTCAACCCAGCCCCCGCCTCGGGCGGGTGAGGGGCGACGCGGGAAAGGTGGACCCGAGTTCCTCAAGGCTCTGCAGTGAGTCAGACACGCAGGAGTCCTGACTCCATGCCCAGTCTTGTACTCACCAGACAGCTCCTCACCGTTGCAAAGCGCTGGCATCAGAACTGCTGAACAGTCAAACGAGTTGTCATAGATTTGGTGGGGAGGGCTGGAGGGCGGACACGCTGCGCCTTAGGTTTACATCTTCCCACATCTTCGAGGGAAGCTTTGAGGCTTTTTATGCTCTCCCCCTTCGCCATTGGCCAGCCGGATTCAGAGTCATCCTGTGGGTGCTGGAATATCTAGAAGTTTTGTCTGCTTTCCAGACAAAAATAGAACATCAGAGGCACTTTAGCGATAATCCTGGGAGAGCTAAAACGGCTGAAAGTGGAGAAATTTATTTTTGCCTCCATAAAAAAAGAAAAATCAAAGCTTTAAAATTAGGCAAAATTAACTTTTCTATGAGAGAACAAAGCAGATAACCATTCAGGGTAAAAACACAGGAGTTCAAACTGTGCCTGGGAAAGGCATCTTCCCAGCACTAAGTTGTTCCAGCAATTTGTCTAGTGGCTTATTTTTGACATGCCAATATGAAAATAGCAAAATCTCTTAACAGAAATGATTGCATGCTGCTTTCATTTCTGCTTCTCCCCTACACTCCTTTTTTCAGTCAATTCGGGGGCTCGGCAGCACAAATAGATCCATCCCTCTATGGATTCCACTTTGTTACCCAGAAGCAGGTTTCCAGAACAAGTCCTGAGTAGTGACAAGGAGCTGGACATTTTCGTGGACTTTGTGAACCCGTGCAGAATTATACTCTAACCCGTGAAGAGAAGGGAGGTGGGCGAAAATACAGATCTTGTTGAGTATGATGCGTTCATAAAGATCTAGAGATTAAGAAAGGTAAGCAGATGTGCTGAAGTCAGTCATACCACACTATGATTGTGCATCTAACGCCTGTGGGGAAGGAGGTGTTTATCCCTTGACAGAATTGGGAAGTGTGAGCTTCTGTTTGCCTTTATGAAACATGAAATCAGAAAGTACAGCATTACCTTTCCAGAGTAGCCTTGTCCAACAGATGACCAACATGTTCTGTACCTTCACTGTCCAGTACAGTAGCCTCGATAGCCTCGGTGGCTACTGAGTACTTGAAATGTAGCTCATGTGACCATGGAATTGAATTTTTACTCAATTTTAGCCAGGTGTGATGGAGCATACCTGTAATCCCAGCACTCGGGAGATTGAGGCAGGAGGACCACTGCTAGTTTGAGGCCAGCCTGGACTATATAAGTCAGGGCCAGTCTAAACTACAAAGCAAGACCTTGTCTCAAAAACCTAGAAAAATTAAATTTTTTTTTTTTTTCTTTTTTGAGACAGGGTCTCCTTATGCAGCTCAGGCTGGTCTTGAGCTCACTTTGTAGCCCAGGCTGGTCTTGAACTCGCAATATTTCTCCTGCCTCAGCCTCCCGAGTGCTGGAATCACAGGCATGTGCCACCACGCCCAGCTGTGATTTTATATTTTTATCCATATAGTCACACGTAATTAGTGGCCACCTTACTGCATAGCATTTCATAGACTACATGTGAGTTTATAGACATCAACTATTTTAGGGGCCATGGCTACAAAAGTACAGTTCTTATGTATGGTGAGTATTTGGGTTCTCCTATCTACAATAGGCAGTGCCTAACAGTAGCATAACATCAACATACAATGAGAATTTACTGGATTGGACACAGTGAGTAGAAGGCGGAAACTTCTACTCTGAATAGCTTCTGATGTCTTCCTTCCCAAAAACCTTCTTCTTAATTGCTTGGGCAGGGACTGTTTCTTAATGACATTTGTGGGTCCTTCTGAAAGAATATTTGCATCTCCTATTCTTATCATTGCCTGTGGGTAACAAACTGTAACACCCTTGATCTTTGTCAGAACTAGGGAACACCAGTCATCAGGGCTACTCAGTGTACAGAAGTCTGACTTCAGGGTACGACTATATCCTGTACCTCACACGTGTCTCAAAGCCTGCTGCTATGTAGTGACTGTAATTACAGATTATATGCTACTGATTACTATAGAGATAAAAATCCCCTGTAAGAAGTACTTTTTTTTTTTTTTTGGTGGTGCTAGGGATTCAACCCAGGGCCTTGTGCATGCAAGGCAAGAGCTCTACCACTGAGCCACATCCCCAACACCAAGAAGTACATTTCTATGCTCCTTTGGCAGGTTTGAAGGACAGTGATCACTAGGTACTTGGGAGAAAACTGAATGCCAAAAAGATAAGAGAATTAGGACAAAAGTCTCAAGACACATTTCATCTACTACAGAAATTTGCCTAAACCTTATGTTATTTTATAAAATGTGAGATAGCACCTTTCTAAGTGAATCATATGGATTAAATAGACTTTGTTACATATAAAATGGCTTAGT